CCGGAACCCCAAGGCCCAAGGGGCCCAAAAAGGCAAAAAAAAAAGGGGGGGGGGGGGGGGAAAAAACCCCCCCCCCCCTTTGGGGGGAACCCCCCGGGGTTCCCCCCCCCCCCCCCCCTCCTTTGGGGGCCCTGGCAAAACCAAAATCCTTTTTTTGCGGGAACGGGAACGGGAACGGGGGCGTTCCCCTTCAAAAGGCCCCCCTCCCGGCCCCTGGGGGGGAAGGGTTTTTCCCCCCCGGGGGGGGGGGGCCCGCCCCAAAAAAAAGGGGGGGGCCTGGGTTTTTTTAAAAAAAAAAAAAAAACCCCCTCGGCGTGGGGGGGGAGGGGGAAGCAAAACCCCCCCCGGGGGGGGGCCCCAACCCGGGGGGAAAGCCCCCGGGGCCGGGGCCTTTTTTGGCCCCCCCCCCCCCCCCCCCCCGCTCCCCCCTTTCCAGCCGCACGTGCGCGCGTGGTCAACGGGTGGCGAACGAGCCCCCCCCCCCCCTCCCCCCCTCCCTCCCCCTCCACCCCCTCCCCTCCCTCCCCCTCCCCACGGCTCCCACACCGCCTCGCCCCGCCCCCGAACGCAGGCGAGAGCGGCGAGACGACGGAGGAGGAGGTGGAGGTGGAGGGGGTGGTGGAGACACCCGAGGAGACCGCCGCGGCGGAGGCGGCGTCGCGGCAGCAGAAGGAGCTCGAGGCCGCGCGCAAGGAGGAGGAGCGCAAGCGCGCCGAGGAGAAGGCGCGGCGCGAGGCGGCTCTAGAGGCGGCGGCGCAGGAGGCGGCGGCGCAGGCGTCGCGCGCGCGCGAGGAGGGGCGAGGCGAGGAGGGGCAGGGGGAGGAGGAGGACGAGGCTGCGGACGAGGCCGAGGCGTCGCGCGCCGCCGAGCGGGCGCGGCAGGCGGAGGAGGCGGCCGCGCGTGACGAGCAGGCGCGGATCCAGAGGGAGGACGAGCGGCAAGAGGCGGAGCGGCGCGCGAGGAGGGAGGCGGCGGAGGAGGCGCGGCAGGCGGCGGCGCGCGCGCAGGCGGTCGAGCGGGAGAGGGCCGAGGCGGAGGCGGAGGCGCGGCGCGTCAAGCAGGCGGAGGAGGCGGCCGCAGCTGCGGCCGCTGCTGCGGCTGCAGCCGCCGAGCGCGAGGCTGAGCGTGCCGCAGCGGATCGGGACGAAGAGGAGCTGTTCGGGCTTCTCGAGGGAGCGAGGCGTCCCCCCCCCCCCCCCCCTCTCTCCCCTTTCCCTCCCCCCCGAGGCTTGCGAGGCGACCAGGGCTCACTGCGTGGTGCCTGCCGCGCGCCTGCAGGCTCGAGCTGGAGGAGGAGTGCCGTGCCGAGGAGACGGGCGTGCCTCAGGGCGGCGCCTCCGCCTACGGCCCCGGGTGGAGCTCGGCGGAAGGGGGCATCAACCGCAGCCTCGCCGGCCCGAGTGGAGGGCTCGGCCCCGCCCGGTGGCCCGTCGAGCCGGTCAACGCCTGGCCGCCTCAGGGCGAGGCAGCCAACGGGTGGGCCGCCGCGGCGCGAGGCGCCGGCCCGGCGGACGGCGAGAGGGCGCGCGCGCCGGTGCCACCGCCGGGTGCCCGCACACCGGGCGCCAGCCCCACCAAGTGTTTCGACGCGGAGCCGCCGCCGACGCACCGCCGTGCTGCCGCCTCGCCCGACGGCAGCAGCTGCGATGGCGGCACGCCCACGCCAGTCTCGAGCGGGTTCGTCACGCCGAAGCGTGAGGGCGGGAACGCGAAGAGAGATGGGAGCAACGGCACTCCCGGGACGTCTGGAGGGGGCCGCGGCGGTAGTGGCAGTAGCGGTGGCGGTGGTGGGGGCGGTAGAGGCAGCGGCAGTGGCAGAGGAGGTGGCAGCGGTGGAGGCACTGAGGGAGAAGGCAGCAGCGGCGGACTGGTTGCCAAGGCGCGACGGATACGCAACGCCCTCGGCTTGCAAGAGGCGTGCCTCTCAACCACCCCTTCCGCCGATGTCCCCCCCCGCCTCACCTCGCCCATCGGATTGTGCTTAGGCGCCGATCCCAGTCATCCTCGATCAAGCGTGCGCCTCCATCGGGCTACAGCCGCCCGAGGGCTACGTCGCGCGCGCCGACGCCCTCACTCGCGCACTATTCGGCGAGTAATCACGGCGTGGATAAGAAGGTTGGTGCAACGTTCGCACCAAGCAGAGGACACAACCCGTGAACGCCGTGAGAGAGTCTCTTCTCTAGAGCCGTACTGACCTCCGCGTAGCTCGCGACATCGTTTCACGTTTGTGCGAGACATCGATGTAAAAGAAGCGAGCTCAATCACAAGTTTTACAAGAAAGAGGGAAGAGGAAGGGACGGGGATCGCAGTGAAATTGCAGAGGCCGGAGGCCGGAGCCCCCCCCCCCCCCCCCGCGCCACAGGCGCGCACATAGCGGCCCGCGCACGCGCACACACACACACCCTGGGCGGCTTTATCGGCTTGCCCAAGTTGCGTGTGTGTGCGCGCGTGTGTGTGCAGCAATGTCTGAACGCGATCCGACCAGAGAAGGGGCGCCGAATCATCATCGAAAACTGCTCGACCTGTTCGTGGATTGGGAGCTTTGGCGCGGCGGCTTTGCATCTCTCTCGTGGTCGCTGCTGGTGCCTCTACTGACGAGCTTGTCAGTAGCAAAGTCAGCGCGCGCGTCCCTCGGCTTCGGAAGCGGATGCGAGTGCCTCAGCCGTGGCCCTCGCGGAGGCGGTGCGGGTGATGTGACCAGATCAAGTAAGGTCTTTGGCGCCTCCGGTTCGGGCGCTGACGCTAGCGGTACCGCTGCGCCGGGGACTAGGCCGCCAGGCTGCTGCTGCACGATTCGCAAGGCAGGCGGACCGGGGATCGTCGGCGCTACCGGCGCTGTGCGGGTCGCAATGGCAAAGATGCAACTGGCGGCGGCAAGAGACGTACAGAGAAGGGCGGCGATCGCCGCTCCAATCTGCTGCCAACTTGGACGCCGCGATGCTGCGCGGATCCCTCTCGTCCAGCTCCAGAGCTGGAAGATTGGCTGAAAGAATCGCGACACGCTGGCAATATCGGGACGGCGTGAGAGGAGGAACTGGAGATAGACCACGAGCGCGAGGAACGCGAGGCCGCGCAGAGGCGAGGTGGGCTCCGGATCGACGAGGTCGAGCAGCACGACGACCGTGGCGGACTGCACCAACGGCGTGAGCGGAATGTGCAAGAGGTAGCACCACAGGGAGTCATTGCCGACGGCGCTGAGCCACGAGCGCCGTCGAGGCATGCACGCACCGAAGCCGACTATCACGCAGCACAGCAGGACGATGTGCAGCGCGTCGTGCAGAGCCGTCCCAAGCCGCCACACTGGATCCTCGCCGCTAGAGCCGCCACAGGCATGCGTCGTGTTGTGGAACGCGCGATCCTGGCGCCGCATGCAGCCGTAGGCCATGACGATCGGCGAGCGGTCGAGGCTAAAGTCGAACAGGCCGAACGGCGGAGCCATGATGTGCAATGTTGTGATGAGGACAACGAGGACCGCCCAAATCGGCCTGACGTTGCGGGGCGACACACACACACACACACACACACACACACACACACACACACACACACACACACACACACACACACACACACACACACACACACATATGCACACACACACCGCCTCCGCATTCTTGCGTGCGGTTTACTCCTCTCCTAAAATCGCGAGAATTCAGAATTCTTTTCCGTCGCAGGTTTTTGCCGCCCGGTTTTTTCATGAGGCCGATACACTGGCTTTGCGCCGCCACCCTCTGCTTCTCGGCCGCCGCGGGCGAGGCCGCGCTTCGCCCGCCGCTGCTTCGAGCAGTGGCACCTGCGCTGACCCGCGACGGCACACTTGCAGCTCCGGCCTCTGTCCCTCTGTGGCGGCTGCGAGGTGGCGATGCTGCCGCAGCGCCAAACCTCGGCTGGCTCTCGCTGATTCCTCCGGTGGTTGCGCTCTCCGCGTCGGTGGCGTTGCGGCAGGTAATTCTCGCCCTCCTCCTCGGCGTGTGGAGCGGCGCGCTCCTCGTCCATCGCGGTAACGGACTGCTCGCCGCGGCGCGCACGTTTGATTCGTACTTTGTGGACGCGCTGGCGGAGCGCGAGCACGCGGGCGTGGTGCTCTTCACGTTGCTCCTGGGCGGCACCATCGGCCTCGTCCAGAAGGCGGGCGGCGGCCTCGCCCTCGCCGCGCTGCTGCGCCGCTTCATGACGTCAGCGCGCAGCGGGCTCGGCGCGTGCGGCGCTCTCTGCTCGCTCATCTTCTTCGACGACTACTCCTCGGTGCTCATCGTGGGCACGTCGATGCGCGAGGCGATCGCGGCGCTGGGCGTCCCTTCCGAGCGGCTCGCGCTGCTCGTCCACACCATGGGCGTCGTCCTCGCAAGCGTCTCGCCCGTCTCCTCTTGGGCGAGAGACAACCGAGAGACAGCCGAGAGACAGCCGAGAGAGAGAGACAGCCGAGAGACAGCCGAGAGAGAGCCGAGAGGCAGCCGAGAGACAGCCGAGAGACAGCCGAGAGACAGCCGAGAGACAGCCGAGAGACAGCCGAGAGACAGCCGAGAGACAGCCGAGAGAGAGCCGAGAGAGAGCCGAGAGACAGCCGAGAGACAGCCGAGAGAGAGCCGAGAGACAGCCGAGAGAGAGCCGAGAGACAGCCGAGAGAGAGCCGAGAGACAGCCGAGAGAGAGCCGAGAGAGAGCCGAGAGACAGCCGAGAGAGAGCCGAGAGACAGCCGAGAGACAGCCGAGAGACAGCCGAGAGACAGCCGAGAGACAGCCGAGAGACAGCCGAGAGACAGCCGAGAGACAGCCGAGAGAGACAGCCGAGATATGGTGTCCTCGTTGGCGAGCTGCAGGCCGGGCACGGCGGCCGCTTCCTAGGAAGCTTCTCTGAGCCTTCCCCGGAGCTTCGCCTAGGCGGGGCTCCAGATCGGGTACGTCGGCGCCCTCCTCAAGCAGATCGGGGCGGTGGACGAGCCATTCCTCCGCGGTGCAGCTCGAGATGACCCGAGATGACCCGAGATGACCCGAGATTAGGTGGACGACCCCTTCCTCGCCGCGGTGTCGTCGGTGCGGTACCGCTTCTTCCCGCTCCTCGCCCTCGCCGCCCTCCCCCTCTCCATCCTCCTGCAGAAGGACCTCGGCCCGCTCGGCCGGCAAGAGTTCAAGCCGCGCCAGCCTCGCTCCTCGCCCCGCCGCACGGCAGAGAGGCGGGCGCAGGGGCAGGGGGGGGGGCGGGCGGAGGGGCAGGGGGAGGGGGCGGTCGCGGAGGGAGGGCCCGGCCCGCTCGACCCCAAGGCGGGGACGCCTCTCCGCGCGGTCAACGCCCTCCTTCCCTTTGGGACGATCGTCCTCGCAACCTTCGGAGGGATGCTAGCCGACGGCGCGGCGAAGGTGCGGTCGCTGCCCGACGCGTCCCGCCCCCCTCTCTCGCTCGTCTCGATCCTGTCCCACAGCGACTCGATCACCGCCCTCATCTGGGCCTCCGCCGCCGGCTGGCTGTCTGCCCTCGGGCTTGTGCTCGCGCAAGGCGCGCTCGCGCTCGACGAGGCGATGGCCGCGTGGGCGGAGGGGCTCAAGGAGGTCCTCGAGCCGATGCTTGTCCTCCTGCTCGCGTGGGCCCTCGGCGCCGTCATCGCCGACGTCGGCACCGCCACATTCCTCGCCCGCTCGCTGCGCGAGGGGCTGCCGCGCTGGTCGCTGCCTCCCATCGTCGCGCTGCTCTCGCACGCCATCTCGTTTGCGTCCGGCTCCTCCTTCGGGACGATGGGCGAGATGCAGCCGAGATCCAGCCGAGATGCAGCCGAGATCCAGCCGAGATCCAGCCGAGATGCAGCCGAGTTGCAGCCGAGATGCGGCCGAGATATAGCCGAGATATAGCCGGACGACGGGCACCGCCCTGCCGCTCTTCCGGCCCGCGCCACGTCTTTTTCTCTCCCCGACAGGCATCGTGCTGCCGTTAGTGGGGCCTCTCGCGCAGGCTCTCGGCGGCGGCTCCCGCGAGTACCTCCTCCACTGCATCGGCTCTTGCCTTGGCGGCGCAACCTTCGGCAACATCTGCTCCCCCATCTCGGACACGACCATCCTGACGGCGCCCGCCGCCGAGGTGGCGCCTGCCCCGCTCCTCGGTCTCTCCACGGCCGCCTCCGCTGCGAGCAGGTCCTCGCGACGAGGTGCGACTTGCAGGCCCACGTTGCGACAATCACGCCCTACGCGCTGCTCGCCGCCGCGACCGCCTTGCTCTTCGGGTCCGTCCCTGTCGGGCTGGGCCTCTATGGCCCGCTCGCCGCCCTGGCTGTCGGGGTCGCGGCCATGGGCGCCGCCATCGCCGTCTTTGGCACGTAGCCGCCCCCTGGAAGGTCATACACCGGCCTGCTGCCGGTCGTATACGACTTCGGCGTCCTGCTTCACCTCTGTCGCGTTCGGGCCTCGGAGCACGCGGGCCGGGGGGGCATTCAGACCGTGCCCCGAGTCGGATGCGGAATGCAACGAGCCCGAGTGACGTAGCGAGAGCGCGAGCGGCGGGAGCGGGCGGCGGAGGGGGTTGGGCCCCTTTCGCGGGGGTGAAGGGAGGCGGCGTTTCCCGCCTGCGCTTGCTGCGCAGAGCGCAGTGTCGGATTCGCCCTTTTTCCACCGTACAAGACAAACAAGAGTCACATTGAATTTGGTCAAACGCCTGCTGGGGGGCAGCCTCGGTTCGCGGAAGCGTATTCCGGAACCGCCGGCGGAAAAGCCAGATCGCAGAGATGAGAATTGGGATTTTGTATATAGATTAAAACAACTGTGCTCTCTAGAGTAGAGAACAACAGTCAACACGAGAAGTTGAGTTTGAGAGGAATGATGCCAATGTACAGCAGTGATAGCTGATGTTCCAAGAGACTCCCTTTCCCAGGTCTCGCTACTCTCTCGTACCTCGCACGTCTCCGACACAGTCTCGCCTCCCGAGTCCGACCGTCGACTCCAGCGCGCGGCGGCGGCGCCGGCCACGCCCGAGACTCTCGAGAAGTACTTCAGGGAGAAAGAGAAAGAGGCAGGGGCGCACGGACATGGGGCATGGGCTTAAAGCAAACGGGGCGTGCCAAAGCGAGTCAAGCGGCATGCATGTACAAAGGGAAAGGTGTGAGGCAGGGCTGTTGTTTCGGTGATTGGAGGTCTCGTCATTGCAGCCCGGAGCTCCTCCTCGAAGTCAGCTACCTGTTGCCCTGGCCATAATCTCTCTGCTCTTTGCCGCTGTCTCCTGGGCTTTTGCGAGTGACTTCTCGTTCAAGTCATTCAGAGTTTGATCGTCATGAAATTGATCTGAAAATTCGCCACGAGGGAGTGAGAGCGAATGAACGGGGAGGCACGAGGCGACAGTTGCGAGCGAGACGCACCTCTCGTGAAGACCGGGAAGGCAGGCGGGTCTGCAGCGGTGAAGTCGAACCCAACCGCCTCTGGTTCGGGCGCTTTGGAACTTGAGCAACCCATGTACGCGCGCGAATAATCGTCCGTCCACCGGAAAAGAATTTGAAGAACCAAACAACAAAGCTCGCTTCGGAATTTAATTCAGCTTAACACACAGCCCTGTGTGGTGGCGGTGTGCCGTCCTCCCATCCCTCCCTTGGCTGGTCTGATTTCTTCTTTCTTTTACAGCCTGCCCTTGATTCTCTGTTGAAATTCTTTCTTTCTTCTTTTATTTAAGAAGATTCTTTTTAATCGGCTCCCGCCGGCAAGTCGAGGTGGAACCTCGCCAACTTGGCGCCAAAGACCGCCTTGTTGGAGATCCACGCCCACGCTCCGGCCGGCCGTGACTGGGACCTCGTACAGGTCGGCGGTGACGAAGCGGCCAGATGCGAGAGGAGTGAGGCGCCGCTGCTGGCTGATCGTGCGGCCCAGCAGGTCCTCACGGCGCTCTCAATTGACTCACCCTCATGAAACCGTGCCTCGATGCTGAATGAAGGTGAAGCGAAGCCTCGAGTCTTCGACGGTCTATTCGCCGCGAAGGTAGAAACCATCCTGTCGGCCCGCACATATCTGGATCGTCCAGGTCGTGCCTGCCAGAATGGAGGCCGATGTGTGTGGGCGGGGCTCGAGGCAACACTAGCTAGTGCGCGAGGTGTCGTGACAGCCAGCCGAGCGAGCGAGCGAGACTGTCACTCACAGCCAGAACACCGGCACCATTTGGAGGGGGCCTTTCGTGCCATGTATGTCGGTGTATCTTGGGAGGGTACCGCCAGAAGAAAAAACCCTTCAAAAAATCCACAAACAGAAGGTGGACCTGAAAATGAAAATTCCGTCCTCAGCAGAGGAGCTGCTCTCCAGGCTTCAGGCGCAAAGAGTTGCATGCCACCGAAGGCGCTGTCGAGGTTCGCCGAGCTCGGCGCAGGTTGGAGGACACCGTCACCGACGAGCGCGTTGGAGTATTCACTCCGGACAAAGACAGTGGCACGCGCCGCTGCCGCTGCCACTGTCTCACCCCCTAAACAAGACAAGGTACCGCCTCGAGGTACCGCATTCAGTACCGCCCCGAAAACGCCATTTGCCCGGTACCCCATATACCGTAGTCTTTGTTAGTATCGAGGTCTCGCGAGTTTTGGGGGTTCTCGGCGCCGCGCAGCGCTGCGAGCAGCGCGATGCCACGGCGCTCGGCCTGCTGAGAGAAGACCTTCCCGGACGGCAGTGACAATTTACCCGACATCAATCGTCGACGGCAAGCTCGAGAACTGCGCCTCCAAAGTCGCCCAGATTCGCCTCTCGCGGCGCGCTGAGTTAGTATCGCCGGTGCGCCAGCCAGCTCTGCTCCACAGCAGGGCATGCCTGACTGGCTCCTGCTAGCCGTGCGTCCTGGTGGCATCCATTGCCAGCTCAGGTAGCCTCAGGAGGTCGCCTCGCGCACAACTCGGCGCCGCACAGCACCGCTCCGCGTTACTACCGAGTTAGTATCGTCGACCCACAGAGACTGCTCTTCTGTAGGTGGAGCCGACAAACGCCGGCCGGGTCGGCCCCGCCGCCCCCATCGCCGCCGCCGGCGCGGCTGCGGCCTCGGCGGACCATCCGGCGCGCCGCGCGCCCGACGGGGAGGCGTTCACCACTCCTGGATCCTCACCCTGCCACGCCTTCGTGCAGACGCCGTGGCACCCACCTCAGGCGCCGCTCGGACTCGGTTGACGGCCGCCCAAGTGCTTGGCTCGTGCCCAGCCGACCGGCAGGCGATGCCCACTCGCTGCTAGGCTAATCTCGGGCTGTCTTGCGGCGGTGTGGTGCCGTGAAGGGCACCCGGCACAAAACTACGATAGTTAGTACCGTGCGGGGGCAGTGCATTTAATTCTGTCAAAAATCGAAATGTGCTCTGTGGGACTTATTGGGCTAGGGTCATACGTCCGGGAGGCCCCCCATGCGTGCCGTAACGAGCCACGGTGCTGGTATGACTCTGTTCACGTTCACACCTCTTCAATAGCGCAAAACTCCGATACAGGAGGTAACGGCGACGCGAGGACGCTGGGAAAAGTTCATGCTGCCAACGCGCTCGAGTGCAGGTCGAGCCAGATGTGGCACTCGTTTGCCATCGCGCTCCTCGCGACCGTCGGGCAGTCCTGCGTCTACTCGAGTGATTGCAATTCGAACGAGGATTGCGTCTCGGGCACCTGCAAGCTAGAACGCGGTGAGTGGTGCAGCACGGACTCGGCCTGTTATGCCGGCAACTGTCGCGGGAATCGCTGCTGCAAGTTGGGCATCTCGGGTCTGTGCACCGAGTGCAACACGTATGGCTACTGCGGGGTGTGCTCCGGCGCATACTACCCGGATGGAAATTACGAACTCGATTGCACCGCCAAGGAACTCCCCGGCACGTATTGCGGCTCCAACCCATCGGTGTGCCTGAGCGACATATGCAACTGTGACTCCAGCGGCGCGCCAGATGCGTACTCCACCTCGTACTGCTGTTCACCATCGCCGCCGCCAGCACCACCGTCGCCGCCGTCGCCGCCGCCGTCGCCGCCGCCGCCGCCGTCGCCGCCCGGGCAGTCTTGTGTCAACAACTGGGACTGCGGTTACGAAGAGGATTGCGTCTCGGGCATCTGCTTGCTAAATGATGGGGAGCGGTGCAGCTCGAACTGGGAATGTCAGAACGGCATCTGCCGCGGGAATCGCTGCTGCAACTTTTTCATCTCGGGTCTGTGCACCGAGTGCAACACGTATGGCTACTGCGAGGAGTGCTCCGGCGGATACTACGTGGGTTCTTCGACTTACGCTCTCGATTGCACCGCCAAGGAACTCCCCGGCACGTATTGCGGCTCCAACCCATCGGTGTGCCTGAGCGACATATGCAACTGCGACTCCAGCGGCGCGCCAGATGCGTACTCCACCTCGTACTGCTGTTCACCATCGCCGCCGCCCCCTCCGCCGTCGCCGCCGCCGCCGCCCCCTCCGCCGCCACCGCCGCCGTCGCCGCCGCCGCCGCCCCCTCCGCCGCCGTCGCCGCCGTCGCCGCCGCCGCGGCCGCCACCGCCGCCACCGCCGCCGCCGTTCCCGCCGCCGCAGGATATCTTCGGTCGATTCCCCTGGCTCATTGCGACGATAGTAACTGGCGCGCTTGTCGTGGTAGCACTGCTAATTGCTCTGCTGCTTGCAACTGCTGAAGGCCTTGCAGAGTGCGTCGGAAAGGACACCGCATTGGGCAGAGCCTTGACAACATTCAAGGAAGGAACTTATTATTGGGTCCCGCTCTTCTTGAAACAGGGGGGGAAAGTTGCACCTGCCGATCCATAAATAAATAAATAAAAACGGACACCTCTACTGTGAGATGGGTAAAAAGGAACAGGTCCCCGCCCTTGCGATCTTTGTGCAGGGTTCTTTGTGGGTGTGGTCGGCGACTAGCCGGGGTCGTCCTCCCGATGGGGAACTTACGCGCCCGTCTGTTCAGCGAGCCCGCGATCAGCGGGAAAAGCTCCGCCGGGCACTCGCTCAAAATCCAGGCGAGACGCTTGGGCACGCGGCGCGTGACGCGCAGCGCACCCTTCTTGCGCTGCACGAGCGCCCGCGTGATGCAATGCCCGTAGCGAGTCTCAATGAGGCGGTGGCTCGCCGGGCAGTGGCAGCCGGTGTCGACGTCGATCGTCGCTCGTAGAGCGCGAGGAGCAAGTCGGAAAAGTATGCAGACGCCAGCTGCTCCGTTTCGTCGAGCTCCTTCTGGCCCTTGTCGTTGGGCGTGCGCTTGTCAAGATCGCTCTGCAGGATCAGGGTGGCCTCGCCGCCGTCCATGTCGGTAACGCCCGTCGGGCGTCGAGGCAGATATCTTCCATGGGGTTGTAGTCCTGGGTGATCAGGATCTGCGACGCGGCCACAAGCTGCTCGCCCTCGAAGGCCAAAGATGAGACGGTGCCGCTCCTTCCCACCAGTCTTGTAAGCCTTGAGAGCGGCGACGACTTCGGGGCAGGCTGATCGACTCTCGCTCGCTGCCACCGGACACAACATTATACATGTGTGTATGTCGCGCGCTGCGCGCCGCGCGGAGAGCCTCCTCCGCTCCGTGCGTGCTCTCGAGCACATCATCGAGCGCAAACGCGGCCTCGAGGATGCCCTCCCGAGGGCGAGCGCCGGGCTCGAGGCGCGGGCCGGCGGCGTCATCCACGACACCGTCGCGGGCACGCTGAGGCACCTGCACCAGTACGAGCGTCGACTGGACGCGGCGGCTGCTGCGGCTGCAGGCGACCGCGCCTGGAGGGCGGTCGAGGACATGCCTCTGCGCCTGCTCATGGCCTCTGCGCTCTTCCAGTGCGAGCACACTCCGGCCTCGGCAGAGCACGTCGTCCGCAGCGCCACGGAGGGCTGCGCACAGCTCGGGCGCGCGTGGGTGGCGACCACTGCGTGAGTGCGGGTCGAGAATTCTTTTCGGGATGAACGGCAAAGGTGCGCGAGCCCTGGAGGCCCTTCGGATGAGATTCACAGAGAGTTGATAACTTTCACAGCGCACTTCTCGATTTTTTCCGTTTCCCTATCATTGAAAGTAGCAGAGGGGTCGGACCACACGCTCTCCGAATGGGATTTTCTGCCCTGCCGCTGTCGCGGCCCCGCCTGCCTCCCGGAGGCCCGCCCGGCCATGCAATCCGCCGCCGGACCGCCCGGCGGGTCCAACCCGAAGCGGGCGACCGGCCGTTCGCACCGCTCGGCCGGCGGGGCGAGCCCCGCGGCCCTCGATCGCTCGCCCCGGGTCGTGGCCCGACCGGCCCACGCGCACGTCCTGGCCTCTACCGCCGCTTTCGGCGGCGCAATTTGCGCCTTCATCGCTCTATGGATCCTCCTGGCACCCATCGGACTCTTCCCGACGGTCGGCGGCGCCCACTCCGTGCACTTTGAGTCAGACTCGCTCTTCGGCAGGCACGCTCTTCGGCAAAAAGTCGCCGCCGGCTGTCCACGCCGAGCCAGCCACATGCCGGCTCGCACGGCAGCCTCTTCCTCTCGACCAGCCTCAACTTCGACACGGTCATCATTTTGTCGCTGCGTGCTCGTGGCGAGCCGGGCGGCGGTCAAAGTTTGCCCAGACGAGCGCCAGGCGATAGCAAGGTCTCTGTTCGCCCTGTGCATGTCAGGCCAGGCTGCAGCGGGGCACTACCATCGTGCTACGCTGTTGCAGCCTGACCTTTCCCACTGTGCACAGCCGCCAGAGCACCACCACCGCCCGGCATCGTGTCACGGCGAGCTCCTTCTGCACCCGTTCGCGAGGCTCTCGCGCTGGCACACTTCGGCCTTCCGCTGCTCGCGTTCGGCGAGCTCTTCTCCGCACTCCTGCCACGGTGCCGTCGCCACACACCTTCTGGCCGGCCTGAGCCATGCGGACTCGACCTCTCTCCCTCTCTGGAGCACGCCACGGGCCGCGACGGCTGCTGGCAGCCGGCCGGCGTGAGGAGGCAGTTTGCCGGCACAGTCGAGCTGGAGTATCCGCTTCTTGATGCTTCTGCGGTCAAGCTCGACCTTATGTGACATGATATGCCACAATAATGCACGCTCTCACCCCTCAAAGTGTCGAAGTTTACCGGTGACTCTCCGGTGGCCCGATAGTACCGTGTGCCTTTTTCTTCAAACGAACGCGCTTCGAGGTTCGACAATCGCTAAGCTGCTTATGGGGCACCGCTGCGACTCCCTTGGGGATGCCTGAGGCCACCCCAAGCACTCCCTAAGCCTTACGTGGAATAAATAAATAAATAAAAACGGTCAAACTCTGAGACGAGATGGGATTTAGGGACATGTGTCCCCGCCCTGCACGATCTTGGTGTGAGGGATCTTCAATCCGTCCCCTCACCCCCTGGTCACTACCCGACACTAGAAGAGCAGCAAGAGTTGGGGCTGCGGCTACGGCTGCGGCTGCGGGAGGGGCTATGGTCGCGGGAGAGCCGCTGCGCCGCGTGGGCGCGCCTACACCGCGCTTGCTCCGCTCGCCACCTCTCGCAAAGGTCCAAAGTCATAGCCATCACGTGGACGATTTCAACCCTACTCTGTGTTTGTCTACGCACATTAGCAACTTTGTGCTCATGTCAACGCCACGCCAGTGCTAGCCCATTCAACCCCGCCCCATTGGGGGCGGGGCCCGTCAAGGGCCTCACTCTAGTCGATCATACACTCTCCGACACGCGCTCGATACATGAAGCGACTGCTGATCCTCGCTGCACTCGCCAGTGCCGTCGACGCCGCCACTGTCCGTCCCGCCCTCGCGGCGGTCGCCTCTCCGCGCGTCGACTTGGTGGCAGCAAAGCACGTGGAGCCGGCGCCTGCGGCCAAGCTCCTCGAGGTGAGCAAGTCGGCCGCGATGGAGACGATCCTCCTCCTCGCGTTCCTGCGCGCCGCTGCCGAGGTGGTTTCACGGGCAAGTGGCGAGCGGTCCAAGTTTTGGATTGGGCAGCTTGCGTGGGTTGTGGTCGTGCAGGGCTCGTCGCGACTGCAGGGCTACATGCAGTCGAATACGCAGACCCTCTCGCCCGAGTGGTATGATAAGCTGGTAAAGCCAAACTGGAACCCTCCGGCCTGGCTCTTTCCGGTGATGTGGATCCCGATCAAGCTGGCTCAGACGGCGGCCGCCGGGATCACGTGGCGTGCGCTGGGGCACCGCACTTTCTCCGCTGCGCCAGTCGTCATGTTTTTGCTGCACCTCTCCCTCGGCGACATCTGGAACGTGCAATTCTTCCTCAAGCAACGCAAGCTCACCGGCCTCCTGGTTATATACACCTTCTGGGCCGCACTAATCGCTTCTGCAGTCCTCATCGGACGCACCTCGCTCTTGGCGGGAGCGCTTGTCGCCCCGGGGGTTGCGTGGGTCGCGGTTGCGGCCGCTCTCAACCTCGACATCTGGTATCTCAACCGGCACACGTGAGCACGAGATGGCGCGCAATCCAGCAGCTGTCCGCCCGGCTCCTCACTCTGCGTACGGCTCTAAAAGTGTGTGTCGGAGATCCACCTAAAGCTAAAGAGGCGCAGGGGCGCAAAACACACACGCATGAATCACAAAAAAAAAAGGGTCTCAAAAAGCCCGGAGAGCCCAACACCGCGGGATTCCCGCGGAGTTCCGCCACGAGCGCCGAGAGCGGAGATATACATCATTAATATCTTGGCACAACCACTGAGCGAGACTCTGCGGAGAGGAATAACGATGAGGGTGGGCGGCGCCCGCGGCGGGGGTTTTGCGCACAGCAGCACACGCACACCACGTGCCAGAATAAGCCCGGCCAAATCCTCTGGCGCGGGCGGCGCGGGCGGCGCCACGGCCACCCCCGCCGTCGATGCCTCACGCCCGACTTGCCTCCCCGCTCCCCGCCGCCAAGTCGAGCTCCGCCCAACTCACCTCTCCCATGCGCAGCGAGGCGAGCCAGTCGTCGATCGGCCTCGGCGCCGCCGTGCCGCCAAAGGTGGCCAGCTTGCAGCCCTTGCGCAAGACGCAAGCGACCGAGTGGCGCACGCGAGGCAGCAGCGCCGCCAGCAGCGGCGGCTTGCCCGGCCGGGTCGACTCGGCGCTGTAGTCGAGGAGGGCGACGGACCAGCCGCGCCGCTCGCCGCCCCGCAACTCGGCGTCGAAGTGCGCCGCCAGCGAGTGGACGGTGGACCGCTCGGCGACGCCCGTGTTTGTGACAAACAGGAGGACGTACGAGCCGCCGG